TACAGACGATGATGGCTAACATGATAAGGGAACACATAACAATACACCCTGTACTTGTAGTTGTTGTAGAGGAGAATAAAGATTCAACACGTCATAGACTGTACAGTATGGACACTGTGGAATGTATAATGTAGACTCTATAGACTGTACAGTATGGACACTGTGGAATGTATAATATAGACTCTATAGACTGTACAGTATGGAGTATGGACACTGTGGAATGTATAATATATACACTGTAGACTGTACAGTGTGGACACTGTGGAATGATTTATAGACACTGTAGGCTGTACAGTATGGACACTGTGGAATGTATAATGTAGACACTGTAGACTGTACAATATAACTACACACACTTAGATTATCACTAACAACACTGCTACACGTGGTTTGGTGGGGATGTAGATTAAACCAAAAAATAATATTTGATTTTACTTAAAATTCAATTCTTGGAATTTTGTGCATATAAATTAGTGGTTTAGCAGTTAAAGAGGTTTTGGACCGCTATTAATTGGCGTTGGTTCGTATTTCATGAAATACTTCCTTGAAGGCTGATTATAAGGAGGGTTTATTAGATATTCTCAGATTAAAGGGGCCACGTGTTAAAAAACGTGACCTTTATTGTGTGATGGGACTGTTCGATGATGCAAGCTGATTGGTTAGTAGCTGTTACGTTTCAAACTCTGCCTGAAACTTTCAATTAGGGGACGGATTTCTCGCGGTACTTAGTCGAGTATGAGACGGTTTGTTAGGGTCTTAAAGAAGAGAACCCAGATTAGCTTTACTTGCTTTTTAGCCGCGTGTAACACATTTACCTCATCCGACTAGCTAGAGAAAAGTGCACTAACTGTCGATACTTACCAAGGTACGATACTTACCAAGGTACTATGTAGTAAACACTTACCTAGTAGCACAACATTACTTACCTTAACATTATTCGCGTGCGTGTGTGCTGCTTATCACTTGGTTACCGCCGACAGGTTGAAATTATTATTCCTTTTGTCACGTATCAGTCTGCAATAACCACCTTAGTTATATTAAACACTCTTGCTAGTTATTACTAATTTGTAAACAAGAAACTCGTGCTCATTACGTGCTTTACTGTTGTTTAATTAGTAGCGAACACAACACTAACTATCTTTAAGGTTTAAAGTACATAGTGTCACAACTTAAGTATTTTATCTTAGATATTTAAGTAAAAACAAAAAAGTGCCTTTACTTGGCCTTATTTGGACTCAGAATTTATCAAGAATTATATTTCCGCAGTCATCTGAGTGTCATCTTTAAAATTGCAATATATAACATGTATAATGTATATTGTATAATGTATATTGTATAATGAAAGGTGTATTGGTATGATAGTTATCAAACTATAAACGTGAAAATATGAAATTTGTAACTTAATGCTTAGTTACAGTCACTGTGCGTCTTTTATTGGTAAACTGAGGGGACCTCTAAATCATGGTTTTGAACGAACTTTATTATTTATAACGTTAAGGTATACTTGTTCAGTTGGCCACACACATGCACATTCGTCGAGAGCCGTTTAATTTAGATCGTACTAAACGCTACACAGCCTGAGAGTGCTATAACAAACGAATCATGAACCTTGTTGCAAGCTTGCCATGTCACCTTTATTCGCCTTGTGAGGTCTAACTCTAACTCGAATTTTTAAAACTTTCGCCTGTAACCATGACAAATTATCATATCACGTGACGTCAAGGTACTCACTGTTACTCAGACAGCAGTTGAGGGCTTGCAACCTCAAGCAGCAGGCTAAGTGACCACATAGCCGCAATAAATGTAATACAGTAATATAGTTTTGGTTTTGTAATTAATCAAATATTACTATTACATTCATTAGGGATTAATGATGTTTTAACCATTTACAAAGTTTAGGCTTATAGCAGTACAGTGAACATTTTCAAATCATGTGATGATATTCTCTCTTCATGCATGAAGAGATAACATCATCACATGATTTGAGGTAAATACATTTATTTATAGTCAGCAGCTCCTACCCTTTTGTTTACGTCTTATAGACAACAATAGCTGCTCTGACTCACCTGATACGTCATACCACTACCAGGAGTTAAATGTGAGGGCTGTATCCCACACTATAACCTTTACTTGTTCATTACCGTACAATTAGTTGCCATAGCAACATTCAATATTTATATGCTGTGGGAATATTCCTTCTCACAGTTATACGACACACACAGAAAGAGAGAGAGAGAGAGAGAGAGAGAGAGAGAGAGAGAGAGAGAGAGAGAGAGAGAGAGAGAGAGAGAGAGAGAGAGAGAGAGAGAGAGAGAGAGAGAGAGAGAGAGAGAGAGAGAGAGAGAGAGAGAGAGAGAGAGAGAGAGAGAGAGAGAGAGAGAGAGAGAGAGAGAGAGAGAGAGAGAGAGAGAGAGAGAGAGAGAGAGAGAGAGAGAGAGAGAGAGAGAGAGAGAGAGAGAGAGAGAGAGAGAGAGAGAGAGAGAGAGAGAGAGAGAGAGAGAGAGAGAGAGAGAGAGAGAGAAAGACCATTAATCTCTGAGCGTGGCCGTTATACTTATAAGTGGAGAAATTTATAATAAACTGCCTAATACGTATTGAAAGGGGAGCTCCTTGCGTTGTAACATTGGGTTGTGTGTCACTTGTTACCCCCGTGATGATGACTCAGCTCTGTACACAATATATGATAAATATGTCATCATGTACTGAGATCTATATGTAACCTGCTCCTTTGTATTTGTGACTGATGATGACGGTGACCTCACGCGGTTCAAATATGATGAGTATTTTCCGTTGATGTAATAACCCCGCATAGATAATATGAGATATATTCACCACGTGGTTTACAAATTGTACACTGACGATAGATAATGTGATAAATTCTGATTTTATACTTTCAAGTTTCATCAAGACTATCTATACTAATAATCTCAGCTTATGTGTGTTCGTTCGCGTGTAATTTCCGATCATTTTGTGACCCAAATGTGATACTAAAGTGTCTCACTTACTCTCCCTCTCTCCCACTCTCGCTCTCTCTTCCCTTATAACAGATTTGCTATATAATAAGGTAATTTGGCAAGGGACCTCAAGATTGCCTATCAAGTATTACTATTAGATACGTGAGGGGCATTCAGAATTAAATTGCGGTGTGTTTGGACTGAGCGAGTTCATACTTTCGCACCGTTTAAAGTTTTAACTACGAAAATGTAATAGGTTTTTTAGAATATAATAGGCGGGTTTATACCTTTGCATTTCAACTGCGGTAGTGAAGTCCCGGCCGTAGGCACGGGTTACACTAGTATTAATATATTGTGATAATAAATGATTCGAGTAATATGTGAATATGGCAATTTTACTTAATAATTAGTTACATTGAAAGTTTGGATGATGATTAATCACTCTACACTCGACTATTATTCAAAATCCTAACTATAACCCAATCCCGAACTCCCTGCAACTGGAGCATCTGCTAAAACCCTAACTCTAACGAGAAATTAGGCCAACTTCCCTATTATATAATGGTCATAACTTACCAGGGAAATATTTTAACCTTATGTCATGTGCGGTGGTTTGGAAGCGTTCAAAAATACACCGATTCTAGTTAGTTACAGCTGCCTTTTAGAAAATCAGAAAAATCTGGAAGTTCAAGTGTAAAGTGATTTAACACGCTCGCGAAAGTTCGACTATCTTAAGTTACAATGTTATATGGGACATAAGTTGGTGAATTGGCATAATTCAAGCCATAGAAATTTATTGGGATTATGTCCACACATTTTTGCACAGCAATCGTTGCTGAGCAACGCTTATTATCGCAAATCTGTTCCCATATGGTTCAATATTAATGCTAGTATCCGCAGAATTCACAAATTCGTCAGATTTTCATCTTTACCACAATTTCTTGATTCAAGTTCTAAAATTTAGTCTACCTGAGATGCTGTTTTCGTGTAAAGCTATTACTTTTCCTTAAAAGAGGAAGTGTCTTTCCTCTCGCAACAGCATGATAATCAGAAACTTTAAACATTATTCATCGTAAATATGATTCATTGATAATGTCCGGAAATTACGTAATAAATAATAACAACATAACAATTCTCTGTTGTGTACAAATTATGAGCATAATCACATAATTAATCGCTAATATTTGGTCACTTTGCATCACATGATGAATAAATATGGCAAGAATGTGGCCTCACACTTTACACAATACGACTATTGAGATATTTTCTCTTGTGTGTCAGAGAGACATGATAAGCTGCGCCAATCAGTAAATCAAGGTCACAGCTTAACTTCTTCACGGTAGCTGTTACACTGTTATAATGTTGTATGTGACAGGAGTGTGTGTGTTACAGGAGATCGGTATGTTTCTGATGAAAATGTCTGATAATTCCGTATAAACAATTTCTTTAACCTGAATTTCTTTAACCTGAATTTTTACTACAGGAGATCTCGCACGTGTAGTACGCGAGCACGTGTAGTATGCGAGCACGTGTAGTACGCGAGCACGTGTAGTATGCGAGCACGTGTAGTACGCGAGCACGTGTAGTACGCGAGTACGTGTAGTATGCGAGCACGTGTAGTACGCGAGCACGTGTAGTACGCGAGCACGTGTAGTATGCGAGCACGTGTAGTACGCGAGCACGTGTAGTACGCGAGCACGTGTAGTATGCGATCGCGTGTAGTACGCGAGTACGTGTAGTACGTGTAGTAAGCGAGTACGTGGTTTTAGCGCTACATACTCTCATGATCTAGCTAGCACTGATACTGATTCCTGTCTTGTGTAGTGTACTTATCGTAACATTCTCCAGTCTTCTTTATTCACTGTCATTATTAGAACCATAATGCAACAGCTTCTATAGTATGGTAACTGAGCGTTGAAATCATGTGATAATTACTAATTATGTGTCGCATAATCACATAAGCAATCACTTAACACCATGTTGTTCACACGCTAATTATGAGTCATAATTTATGATTTATTACTAACGGAATGTAAACAATTTCAGGAATGCCCAATATGCCGACAGTACATCACGAGAGTAGTACACACTTTTAGAGGCTAACACAGCTGCTGGAGGTATTATCACACAGGGAGAACTACCGGGACATTTCTTCTGTGGAGCTACTTTTAGTGTTTGATAGTTGTGTGGGAACTACCCGATTGTACAGTGAAACTCTACTACTACCCCATACCGGACAAACCTGGTATTTCACCTGGTGTTTCACCTGGTATTTCACCGGGTATTTCACCTGGTGATTTACTTAGACTTGAGTTTCTCCCCCAAATGTTGTTCTATAAAGTGAGAATACTACCCAGTTTATAGTGAGTAGGGTATACTGATTAGAATAGAAATAGAAACCAGAGAGGCAGAGACAGCATTGTTTTTAAGAAAACCTGGGGTAAAATCCAGTTTATTTAGTAACACCATTTTGCGTACTTCACGTGTGTCGTGTACTGTCACGTGTACTATCACGTGTACTATCACGTGTACTATCAAGTGTATTATCACGTGTACTGGCATATAATACACAGCTTGTGCGAATGTACGATGGTTCTAACTACAGTAAAAGCTCTATTATATACCGGGCCTCTTGGGGAAAACGAATAAGTGCACGGTATAGATGTTCCCGTTTCCCAGTAACCTCTCAAATAACCTGTCAAGCGTGTCAGTATATCCGGTAAAAAGAGGCACGGTAAAAAGAGGCACGGTAAAAAGAGGCACGGTAAAAATAAATTCTACTGAATAATAAGGGTTCACATTATAGCTGGTCTCTATTTCAAAAGTGAATACTAAAGAACAGATACAAGTTATCAGTAGTTTCTTAACGAGGAGAGTAGTTACTTTAAATCCTTTTTATTGTGGTAATGGGTGGATTATTATTATCATTTTGTTACATCGACTGCTAATTTGCGCGCGTGCGTTCTTAATTCTTAACGAGTTAACAGTATGTATTGAATCTTAGCATGGACCGTATATTTGAAAACTCTTATAACATTTTATTTTAATCAACAAATTCATTTGATATTACTAGCACCATTACAATGGGAAAGTTATTCTTTGATTTATTTTCCCAAGTTGGTCCCATTTGCATTGATATTTTTATCATTTACAATTTCTTTCTATAAACATTTTGGAATGACAAGCAGTAATGAAAGGGTGTCGCTCACGAACGATGACCACGAGCAGACATTTTAATTTTATGATATTTACTATTTATAGCTATGTTTAATTAATATTTTTCAATACAAACATTACATGTAGATTGATGTAAAAAGCACAATAACTTTTAATTTATTCAGAGAAAATAGTCAAATATGCGGTATCTGTATAATGGACTGGTCGGTCACCTGGTCACATGACTCGCCCGTTGTCACATTCTATATAATTGATCTCTTATCAATCTTTCTAAGCTCACTTACTTACTTTGAGTACTTTGAGTAGGTTTGGCAGGGATCACTTCAACTTCGGTTGAAAATATTATGAAATTGATGTATAAGTTGTAATTATACTGCTTTTACAATTTTATTCGAGTGATAATTGGATTTTTATCAGAGTTTAGTTATCGGATGGTGTGTAACGGAGTAACGGACCGGTGGGTAAAACGTTTTGTTACAGTGTCAACGTGTACACTGTACAGTTGGCTAAACGTTTCTTCTAAATGTTTTGTGCAAAATCAGCCCGCATTAACTGAGCTGAAATTTCACAATTATTAATTAAAAAGTTTATTTTTAAGGATTATTTTTGCTGAATAAGACCAAACCAATTGTACTGGGTAGCTCAAACTAGGAATTAGTAAAATTTGAACGGAATATGAGTTCCCACCAACAGTTTTCGAAATTATCATTAAATGTTACGAGGAAAATAAATTTCCTAATTTGAATTCACATTATTGGCTCACAATTGAAACAGCTAGTGGACATACATATTGGTATTGGTGGTCATCAAATTTCTATGTAACTAGTAATGGTGTTGTCAAATCGAATCGAATCGAATTTCGGTAATCAAATTTCACAATATCATAACTATTTCTACAGAATTAATAAATTAATGTGAAATATAGATTGTGCGAGAAAATGAAGGAAACCGCTGATGTCGCCTAAAATTGGATCCCCTTATTGCAATCGCAGTAAATGTAGCGGCGGTTATGGTGCACGTGTATTTGTAAACTTCGCCTGTTTAAAGCTCATGTAATTTCTGTTTGCAACTCGATACTATTTCGTACATCGACCTTATTTATTATTTAGTATATCCATATTTGAACTAAAAATGCCATTTAGGGCAGTTGTAGAGGTGTTTATATGAACGATTTAGAACGTTTTTGTTGGTAAATTTATTTCAACGTGGCCAACTTTTATAAGTAAACTAATGTTGACAACTTCAAGTTGACTGGGATTGTCATGACTGATCTTAACAATGATGGTATTCTAATTCCGCTCATGAGCAAATCGTATCACGAGTAAAGTGATAGTTGTCAATAAGGAGATGACGAACATGCTTGAAGATGGATGGAAACCTGCATGGAATTGTCGTTGGAAGTAACGCGTTGGTCCATCAAATTACCTATGTACTTTCTGGAAGGCGCGATCGAAATATGTATGTTGAGCCTCGCGCAAGTAATAACAAATAAAAATTGAATAATATATAAATGTTATATTAAATTTGTATAAAACGTACAAACGCAATTCAAATAACATATTATGTTTAGAACACAGTACTATATACTTGTCCTAAATCTATTCGGAGTCCGAATTTTAGTAGTAGAATAACTAGAATTGACAAGTTGCCAACATTTTGAGGCAGTATCGAGATAGCCCGACCACTGGTCCGCGGACCACTGTCTGCGGACCACTGTCCGCGGACCACTGTCTACCAGATCATATTACTGTATAATAACAGTATTGAGTATCCCCTGAATCAAGCAGGGTTCACATCATCCCCTGAATCAAGCAGGGTTCACATCATCGCACGCGAATTCCAATCAGCGGTGGTGTCAAGGCTTATTAAACGATTAAGCAACCTTACGAGATCAGTTCACATCATGCAATATAATATCAATCATTTCTATCATCAACTCCTTCTTGAACAACTACAACTATGGTCTCAGAGAAAACGAAACGGATGAACTCAGCCCTACCCTGCGACCCTATCTGCAAACCTATCTCACCTCTCGACAAGTGGACTCAAGCTGGTAAAACCCTCATCGTCTCCAGAGCCAACCCAAGCTTCTGCGTTTTCTGCAACAAGAGGCATGCTGGTATATCATGCGCTGCTCATGACCGTAATCAATTAGTACAGTCAAATCCGTCCTAATTTAAGCCTTTGTCGGACAAAATTCGCAACAAAGCGATTTTAACGGGATATGGTCGGGACAGGTCCCAGGAATCATTCCAGAGAGTTCCCAAAATCCTCGACTTCAGGAAAATCCACAATTACCACTTTTTTACCACCTTTTTACCACTTTGGTTTTCTGCAAATAAGTCACGTTCTGAATATCCTAGAAGATTCTAGTTTAAAGCATTGTGTTTAGAAAACAAAGAAGAACAACTTTTCCTTTAACAACTTTTTCAAAAATAAATTATTTAATTAATAAATTAAATAATTAATAAAATTTCAAATATTTCAAAAATATATTTTCATAAAAAATGTTCACAATTACATTCCACGTGCAATGAACTAATTTTTATAAAAATTTTCACTTTCAATATTTTGGACTTGTAAAATTTTCGAAATTCGTAAAGAATAACCACTATTTATCACTTTTTACCACATTGAATCTCCGCTAATAAAACGACTTCTGAATGTCGTCGAAGGTTCTAGATTGAACCAATGTGTTCAAAATATAAAAGAGAACAACTTTTTATCTGACAACCTTTGGATTAGATAATTAATTGATTTATTAATTAAATAATAATTAAATTTTTAAAAATTTCAAAATATACTTTTTATCAAAAATATTTGCCGTGACGTAAAATGAATTTACTTGAATAACAGAACATACACCGTCACATAGATTAGATAACAGATTTAAAAAATTCAGATAAATGGAATAAACGGTAAAATATCAAAATTTGTACGATACTATTATAGCTTATTTATAAATATTTACACATCATATCTCTCGACTTACAGAAACATCAACTGGATTAGACCACAGAACTGCCTCTCTGCAAATCAAAACATCTGCAAAACGATGTGCGAAACGGATTGAAAATGACGAAGTTATCAAGCAATTTGTTTATCTCGTTAGCGAAATTGATTGGGTTATCAATGATTACCTAATTGCTTATCACGTGACAGGGTGCTAGGATACCGTAATTGGGCTTTCTGCACGATTTCTGTGCCACGCTTTCACTGGATCAGACACCACCAGTCGGATCCACGGAGTTGGTAAGGATCGGCTATTCAGAACGATTCCGATAGTGGGAATCTAGTGCACTAAGCTACGGAGAAAGTCACGAGAAATTTTTGGGCGAGCGAATTAGGAACTTAGTAAGAGCCTAACGTATGTGTACTATACCACCTCCCCCCTCCCCCGCACAATAATTTACCCTGTCTGTAATCCGGTTTGAGGATTTATCATTTAGTGCGATCTCTACGTTACAGAATGGACATTTGTTTAAACTGTGTTCGCGGACTAAAGATGGTCCTGTCTCAGTTACAACGAACTCCTCTTCATTGGCCGATATAATAGTTAACAGCACTATGTTTACAGTATGCACTGAAGGGGTATCCTAGTTGCTTGAACTTTTAACAGGTGCCCCGCCTCATTTAAACCTCAATTAAGTTTCCTATCATTCGGTTGAGTCGACCGTTGAGATCCCTTAGATCCAATGGATCCTTAGCTACTCCCTAGACTAGGTGACACTGGGATTCGAACCCTGAACCTCTGCGCAGAAGGCGGATGCTCTAACCGCTAGGCTAGATATGAATCTTTGGAACTGGTCTATGGTCACTGTCTGCAATAATACACACAAGACGTCACTCAGAGCTGAATCAGTCATGCCGTTGTACTGCCGTTTAATTTCGTTCAGTGACCAGGGGTTGTTGATCCAACCTGTGGTGCGTTGATTTCTTTATTTATACAAGGTATGAGAGGCGTCAGGATAAAGAATAGGACTGTACGTATCCGTTTCAAATTTGCTGGGCATAGTTTAAAAGTTAGTGCACTTACTTAAAAGATAAATAGTTTAAATAGTACCTGAGGACAGCAACCCTTTCCATATTTCATTCCATGCAAATTTACATTGTCGATCATTCGCCCTCTTAAAGCTATTCACCGAAACTAACTCCTCATTTGCCTGGTAAATTAAAACATTGTATTGGTTAAGAATAGCTGATTTCATAAAAATCGAGATCACTAGATGAAGCAAGACTTTCAGTTCTTGAACAGAAGTCGCAATCTTCAACAGCAGACATCAAGTGCGAACAGCTCCCGCCAACATTCTTATCGTGTTTACCATCAGCAGCAGGTGTGGGATGAGAATGACCTAGATCCGATAAGCTGGGATGGAAGATGAACAATGGGACACATGTACCAGTGACCACTCTTATGAGTACAGCTCCGAAAAAGCTCATTCAAAAAATCAGTTGCAAATGTTTAAAGTCAGGTTGTGGCAATGCTTGTTCATGCAGAAAAGCAGGAATACATTGTGGATCAACCTGCCTCAAATGTCAGGACAATTGCAGCAATGTGCCAGCTGAGGACTCATAAGTTAGACTGTTATCTAGTATATATATGGTTATATAAAGTACTACTTCGATTTCCCGATTAATTTAATGGAAATTTGTTAATTATTCGTGATATGTAATTTTAAAATATTTTGATCAAAAATAATTTTTATAATTTTTGGATATTTGTTTAATAATCGAATTAACTAATTAATTAATTATCTAATCCAAAGGTTGTCAGATAAAACTTTGTTCTCTTTATATTTTGAACACATTGGTTCAATCTAGAACCTTCTACGATATTCAGAAGTCGTTTTTTTAGCGGAGATTCAATGTGGTAAAAAGTGGTAAATAGTGGTTTTTCTTCTCAAATTTCGTAAATTTTACAAGTTCAAAATATTGTTAGTGAAAATTTTCAAAATTTTCATAGAAATTAGTTCAATATTCGTGGAATGTAATTGTGAACATTTTTCATGAAAATGTATTTTTGAAATATTTTAAAATTTATTAATTATTTAATTAATTAAATAAATAATTTATTTTTGAAAACGTTGTTAAAGAAAAAGTTGTTCTTCTTTGTTTTCTTAACACAATGCTTTAAACTAGAATCTTCTAGGATATTCAGAACGTGACTTATTTGCGGAAAACCAAAGTGGTAAAAAGGTGGTAAAAAAGTGGTAACTGTGGATTTTCCTGAAGTCGAGGATTTTGGGAACTCTCTGGAATGAATCCTGGGACCTGTCCCGACCATATCCCGTTAAAATCGCTTTGTTGCGAATTTTGTCCGACAAAAAGACGGATTTGACTGTACTAAATAGTTTGATCCAGTAATTTACTACGCTACAATTAATTATGCTAGTCGTAACTAATTGCATCCAAGATACCATACATACCATTCATATGATCTGGTAACCAATCAACTATTCACAAACACCTGTTGCTTGATTCAGGGGATACTGTTATTATACAGTAATATGATCTGGTAGACAGTGGTCCGCAGACAGTGGTCCGCGGACCGTGGTCGGGCTATCTCGATACTGCCCATTTTGATTTATTGTCCCCACGAATCACAGAATCACGTCCATGCTACGCGCGCACATGCATCTTGTCGAGACTGAACTTGAAGGGTACAGCAAATGGTATACGGTTCTTAGTACAGTATGTGGACATGTATATTCGTCACTTAGCTATTCTGGTGTATATGTCCACATACTGTAGTATTTCGTTATAAGTTATAATATGAACTATATAATATCAGTTATGACGTGACCATACTGGCATACCAATATACCTCATCATTGATTATACATTTCCAATGGTTAAACAATTTTTCTGGTTTCGAAACTTCTGACTTCTTGTTAGACATAAGTCCTGCTATTAAACATGGGGTAAAAGTTACTGGGCCGCGCTCAGCCTGTCATTCCGCCCAAATCTTTATTCGTTATATGTTAATGAACATAATAGCCTGGGGTCCTCAGGTAAGGTAAAAGTTAAGGCCTCAGCATGTAGTCTAATTACCCAACCTCAGATCCTGAAACATCTTTTTCGGCCCGAGTCCCGAGATCAAAAACTAAGGACCCAATATGAATAACATATTTAATTTTATCACCATCAAAGTACTAAAAGCTGCTTTCACTCTTTTGTCTTATGACTGAATTTTTCTTAAATAACCATCTAGCAAAGTCACTGAGGAGTGAGGATAGCACAAGACACCATTGAGGTACTGAAAGTTCTATTCCCAAAGAAAGCTTTTATAAACGGAAAATCATCAGAATATAAGATGAGATTTTGGAAGCTTTCTGAATAGAAGCTTTCTTGACATACGTTGCATGCCACTTTTCGCGCGCGCCGCCGAAGGCGGAAAAAGGGGCATATTATCTCTGATATTGGGATACGAAACATGTATCAAAAGCTTTCTGAACACAAATTTCACAGATTGTGTGAACTTTTAATTGCTCAGAAACCAACTATTCACTTAATTGATAATGGTATAAAACCAAATTGAGGTGCTGGGAGTCAAAATCCCGAAAAACATTGCGAAATCATAATCATATTGTCCATTTTCAGTTTTCGAAGATGAAATTTCCAGGACCGAAATTTTATAGTTTTTACTGAATTTCTCGCCGGCAACCAATTAGTCATTCAACTATAGTGGCTATAGCCATAGGTGGCATATGAAACGATTGAAGTGCTGGAAGTTTGATTTCGGTCGGAGGAAGACCACAGCAGAAAACTAAACAAAACGAAAATTTGTATTTTCCAAACTCTGTCCCATTTTCAAATATGAAAATTCTGAACACGAAGTTCACCGATTGGGTGAACTTTTTGCTCTGAAACCAATTAGTCAGTTAATTGATGATGGTATGAAACCAAATTGAGGTACTGGGAGTGAACATCTCGAAAAAAATTGCAAAATCATATTGTCCCATTTTCAGTTTTCGAAGATGAAATTTTCAGGACCGAAATTTTATAGTTTTTACTGAATTTTTCGCCCACAACCAATTAGTCAGTCAACTATAGGTGGCATATGAAACATTTGACACGGAGTTGTAGAGTGAGCTATGTGCCTCGCCGGGCTAAAGTAGTGGATGTCCTTGCTGTACGGAAAGTTAAACAAGGAACTGAAACTACTAGGTTCCGTACAGACTCAACTCTGCAGCCATGTCAATATGTTCATTATATGCAAGCCTCTTGATTTATATGACACGATTGAGGTGCTGGAAGTTTGATTTCGGTCGGCGCGGAGGAAGCCCACAGCGGAAAACTTAACAAAACGAAAATTTGTATTTTCCAAACTCTGTCCCATTTTCAAATATGAAACTTTCTGAACACAAATTCCACCCATTGGGTGAACGTTTTGCTCTGAAAGTGAAACCAATCAGCCAGTTAATTGATGATGGTATGAACCAAATTGAGGTACTGGGAGTGGACATCCCGAAAAAAATTTCAAAATCATACTGTCCCATTTTCTGTCTGGCGAAAAACTGTCTCGATCACGTGATATGACCGTATAAGGAAGTTAGTCTAATTTCTCGTTAGGGTTTCAGCAGATGATGAAAATTTCCAGGACCGAAATTTTATACTCACATATTTTTTACTGAATTTCTCGCCCACAACCAATTAGTTATAGTCAATCAACTATAGGTGGCATATGACACGATTGAGGTGCTGGAAGTTTGATTTCGGTCGGACTCGGAGTTGTAGAGTGAGCTATGTGCCTCGCCGGGATAAAGTAGTGGATGTCCTTGCTGTACGGCAAGTTAAACAAGGAACTGAAACTACTAGGTTCCGTACAGACTCAACTCTGCACCCATGTCAATATGTTCATTATATGCAAGCCTCTTGATTTATATGACACGATTGAGGTGCTGGAAGTTTGATTTCGGTCGGCGCGGAGGAAGCCCACAGCAGAAAACTGAACAAAACGAAAATTTGTATTTTCCAAACTCTGTCATATTTTCAAATATGACAATTTCAGTCAATAAGCACACAACGCAGATTTTAAAATATTCGACAAGTAAAAAACGGACTTTTTAGCTGAACTACATTTACAGCTGTACCAAACAATACAGATACTAAGCAAATGGGCCGCGCATTTTATTCACAAAATCAAACAACATAACATCTAAGTGTGTCTACACGAGGGGATATTATAGATGAGGGGAGATGAGAACGTGTGACCAATAAGTTATTATAGAGTTCTGCCCTGGGCCAGGCACCATATCATGGTCGTACCTAAACCGTAGCCTGGTTTACTATCAAAAGTTGTTATAAATATTTAATACAGTACAATTACTTAAAATGTAAATCGATAAGGATCAATCATTTTTTCCTTATTAAAGTAATTCAAATTCCTTAGCAGGTATACTGGGCTTGCTATTCAAGTTTTGAAGGGAACTCCAGCACGAATAATTTGGAGTTACACGTTAACACGATGATAATGCATCAAATTGTATCTTATTAAATTCCCTTTAAAAGAAAACTATTCTGCACCAAGTGAATGACGTTTCAAAATTCAGAAGTGAAACCAAACTTAAAAACGCTCTTTACCAGAGTTAAACTTCCTCCTCAACCCACAACTTACAATATTTACACTAACTGCAGCAACTCTCAATAATTTTGACCACTTTGGAAACAACCAGGCCAGATTAGTTTGAAAAGATAATCCGCATGGCAAGATTTAAATCAGAGAGGTCAAACGACAGAGCGATCTACATTCGGGTCTGAAACACTTAACTACGTCAAATTGTTATGTACGATAGTCGAAAATACTCCGAATAATTCTGCTGCAGCTAGTACTTAAAAGTGAATCATTTTTTTGAACGTTTTGCAACATATCACGTGACCAAAATTTTATCATACATATCATATTATATAGAGAAGAGTATCGCTGGGGCGGTACAAAACAGTGCAGTGAAAACAAAGACCCTGATATATTAATCACACTAGACGAGGTAAACGTTTAAAAATTAAACAATTCCGACCTTGTCCTCATTATATTAACATACACAGTAGATTTATAGTGATCAAATATATAATGTACACGTTGTGATATCACTATTCAATAAGAATACGAGTTTTATATTTATATATGAAGCTAAACTTCGTGTGTAATTTGGTTGGTTTAACCTGCTACGTAACACATAGGCGTGGTATAAAATTAGATGTTTTAATAAAGAACGTTAACACAAAACCTAAAGGAATAATTTCTAACACTTTCTGCGAAGCTTTTTGCGTGGATAACGACGTCTTGGGAGACAAGACACTTGAATAACACGGGATACGAGTTAATAGTACACATCACCTAACAGTCCCAACTTTACAATCCTTCTCACATAACAGTTTCAGGCATATGAAAGAGGGAGGGAATAAGATATAGTTGCCATGGTAACTGAGTGTATTTCAGGAGAGAGATAGAGAGTTGCCATGGATACGTAGTGTAGGAGAGATAGCGAGTAACAAATAAAACAGGATCGTCTCCCAGCGCGTCACTGGATACAATGTTGTTGCCATGGCAGTGCGCCTAATTGTTCCACCACACCTCAGCACTTGTTGCACAGGACACCCTTCGGCTCCCTTAGATTATGCGCATTCACGTGCTAGGGTCGACCTGATTGGTTGGGGTGAGAAAATGCTCGGGGTTATGTCGAATAAGTAAAGTTTAAATGAATAAGATTACTAGAGATATATCCGATCACGAAAAGGTGGAGTACAAGTTGTTGCAGCAATAGGAATTGTAACGAACCTTATGTTGTTGATGCTGTATAAGCGCTTTGCGAGTTTCGAAGTCGACAGGAAGGAACGATTTTCTCCTAGTGAGGTCACGTTGTACGGCTGCCTCAACTGGTTCCGTGTCATCCACCGCTCCTTTTTCCGGCTGAAAGAGTGTACTCGTTACATCGTGTGTACGTTATATCGTACCAAGAAGCTGTCATAATAACGCCAACAACCGATAACAAAGAGACACTTGAATAATACGATTCCAGAAGTCAAACTCTTTAAGTGTACCAAGTTCTTGATAGTATCTGCCAGATCAGCGGGATCAACTCCATCCAAATCCTCGTTATCAATAGCCGTGGTATATTGATTGTTGGCGCTTGGTATTTGTGCTTTGATCTTATCGGCGTTAGAGATGGCTGCCTGCTCCAACGCGGCCCATGCCTCCTCACGCTCCTTCATTTTAGCACGCTCTCGCTGTCTCTCGTCCTTGTACCGTACTGTACATTCATCAAACAACCGCTGGTTCATCTCCATAAAGAGCTTTAATGCGTTGTATATTAAACCATGAATAGTCCTGTGAGGCAGTGTTGTTGGTAATGAAGTAATTTTCATGGAAGGTAAAAACGAGTGTTGTAAAGATGCAGAATAGGCCAGAAACAGAGTAATGATCCGTTCAAAGGACGTTTCCACCTTCCCTGACTTACTTGTTCCAATGAGATTTAGAGTTTTTATACAAAGCACCAAACATGATCGGTAGTATAACATCTGCATTATCGCTTATCAAGGTCATTATATAGTCGTTGTTCCAAAAATACAGAGCGCGTTCTGCAACCTGATTGGTGGTAAGTGTTAGCATTGAAAATAGAGTTTGTAATGGGTCACGTACATCTAATCTACTTGCTTAGTTAAAAGGATGTGGCTTGATGGACTATGCCGTACTTTTTACCCCCTAATAGAAACTTGAAATTTATGCGACTGATACAGAATCGGCCATTAGGGTCACATCATAAGAGTCTTTATCGAATATGCTGACAACGGAAAAGTTGAACCAAAATAAAACCTGGAAGTGTGGACTGGAAACACATCTAGCCAGCTGCTGGAACAGCGGCCTCATAATCTTGCGGAACTCATGCGGCTCTATGACATCCAATATCTCTTCTAATTCATTCAGGAACATAACCTGACAACAGTGCATGTATTAAATATAGCGTCACACATCCTCAAGCTGTCTATCGACTAATTGAAACTAATTAATTAATCAATTTTAGACTTGGTAAAACAGTAGCGGCGATGCACTTTGTATGCCTTTGGATTGCTATCTGCTAGTACTGGGAGATGCTTTTTGCATAATGTCCCGGTTTTGGCTATAGATACGCTGCGCGCGCTAAGATCCAGTGCGCGTTGCAAAATATAAATATGTCCAGTTACCTCCTTCGGGCTGTGGGTTTTCGGCCAAAACTTTAGTAGTCCCTTAATAACGATCTCTGTTAGTGTAGAGTCTTTTTCTAGGAACTGAACCACACAGTACGCTAGCTGAAAATATATTTATCGTTAGGGATCGGAATAAAAAACACACAAACTCTTGTGATATATTTCACTTCATTTTTGATAATACCAACCTTTCAGATGGCGGCAGCTGTAGCTTCATGATGGCAGATACCTAGCCAGAGCATTTCAACCTTTTAGATGAAGGTAGCTTTAGCTTGAGCATTTCCACGCTTAACATAATATGATTGATGAGATGAAAGAAGTCTCTTGCGAGCTATGATTGCCGATACAAGTTTAGTTATATCTGCGTACACCTATAATATCGTGATCAGTTTTCGAGAGTTAATGTCGGGACCACCCACACGGACTTTATACTGCTCAGATGTTACGATTCGATCATGCAAAGTAATGAATCGTGGTGTACAAAACGGTGTGATATAATACATATTGTGCTTCAAGCACCGATCATGCTATGCAGTGCTAGCATAAATTTGATGATCAGAAAACTGAGAGTTTAGGTCTGGGTAGCTTTAGATTGCTGTAAATCGGGGGCCGGTGCACGGTGAATCGGGGCTTTACTGTGTTATATAGAATATGAAGTGCACAGCTGCGTTATAGTAGGGTAATTTCCATACTCTCGAGTTATCATAATGACTCATCTCAACAAAATATCACTCTTACATTTCACAATACCTAAAATATTGCATAAAAACTTCTTGAGAAAGATTGACGCAATAGAATATCATTTACGCGTTTCAGACCCAAGAATAAATCAGCGAACCTTCGTCATAAAAAACCATCGAGCTTTTAAATGCGCAGTGAGCGAGGCACAGGCAAAGTAATGAGAACCGCCATATAAGGGCAACTGTGGAACAGTTAATAAAGAATTTGTCAGGCGTTTTGCTGGACCACGTGCCGTGGGGTGACAGTGAGGCTTTATTAGAAATGTGACAGCTTTTTTTGGGAACCCTTACCCCGTCCTGTTTTTTTCTTCTGGAGGGTAAAGATAATCCGGACCGTGTGCTTGTGTAGTCATTGTTTAAGGGATAAACAGAGTGACATATTTAACGATTTTAAAGGCTTTGACAGGTCACGAAATCGTGATATATTTGGAAGGTTCCCCACACAATTTCGATTCAAAAAGGTGTCCGAATTTAGGTGTACGGTCTACATTACACCTCCTCACTTAGGTGTACGGGCATGCTACATTACACCTCACCTCTTCAACCATTTCAAGCCCGCGTAACATATTTAATTTGATGAAGGAGTAACTTGATACGAGTATTGCAAGGTTTTTAGTATTTATCGATTTGATTAGGAGGGCAGGACAATTCTGGTTCGACTGTGAGCTGTCAATAGTCACAGGTGCATGGCCTTCAAATGGGGGTTCCTTCTAAATTTTGTTAGCAGGGTTATATCGATATTTATAGGCCTATGTTAGGAGTTTTATTAACCCTGTAGTCTCAAGTGCAAGTGTCAACATATAACGTCAAGTTGGACCCTGGGATAACTTTACTTAAATGAGTTAAAGATATTCATTCATCTTTCATATTTTGTTTGTTAACTTAATATCTGAGGGATTTAAAAGGCCTATTCATAAAGATCCAAAAGAATTCGTGACATCATCCAGGTAGTAAAGTGGTACCCTACAGTACCATACAGTACCCTACAGTACCCTGCAGTACCCTACAGTACCCTACAGTACCCTACAGTACCCTACAGTACCCTACAGTACCCTACACTACCCTGCAGTACCCTGCAGTACCCTACAGTACCCTACAGTACCCTGCAGTACCCTACAGTACCCTACAGTACCCTACAGTACCCTACAGTACCCTACAGTAATAGATATTATGATTTCACTTTGTTTGCCAGTCACTGACTGGTGACCAGTGACCACATTGTAGCTGCTTGTAGCCAGACACTCGTGTGTGTAGCCGGAAGTATGGTAAGAACAAATTAATCAATTCACTACAAAAATTTAACGAAAATACATTTGTTCGTACGGTTAATTTTCTGTATACTTCCGAATATAACGCACGTACTTGCACGCATTTATATCGTAAACTGAATTTTGTAGTGTGCAGGCTTTCGTAAATAGACACTTTTCTAACGAAATTAACAATACTTAAATAGCAATAAGGAAACCAGTCACGTACAGTAGAAAGTTGATTACCGCAACAGCATATTTTCTAACATGCCGACAATTTCGCAGCGCGGCTTTAAATTTATCATTCATTGTGATTGTAATATCGCTTACAAATATGAAATTCAGCTGGCCCAACATTTACAATCCTGGTTTTTGGTACTGCACTGGAATCAGAGATCAAACATGATTATGAAATCCAGTAGCTATAATTCAAAACTTTGAAAACTTAATTGTCTTGAAAACACAAAAATTCCAAATATTTTCATTCTAACACGCATTTTATCGTTATAAGATTATTTGTGGACACCACAGCTATACCACATACTACTTCATGCTTATGTTGTACTGACTTCAATCTAGAGAAGCTGCTATGTAATACCAACCACCGATTACAAAATACAAGCTTATTAGTTTAACAATAATATGTACACAATACACACATAATATGTGTGTAAGTGCAGTAGCCTTTAATGAACAACTACAAAAACAAATAGTAGTATTCTGGGTACATCATTTAATGATTATGTTAAAAATGAGTACTGAAAAACTGACTGAAAAACTGACTGCAAAATCTCAGCCTCAGACATATTAATCTAGTCTGCTACCCAGACGTTTTGTAACTAAGTTGGGACCTGGTTTCGTCGGTGAACATCTCTTAGTGAGTTCCACGAAAATAGGGTGTGTACATTGGTCTGTGTAATATCAAGTTAACGCTATGCTATACTCCACTAAGTGTTCAAAAGTAGATTTAAAGTTACAAATCGACTTGTCGGTATGAACTATGAAATGGTAAATATGCAAACGTTAAGTTAAGTACGCTTACTAAAAATTCTTCTTAAGATACACAACATTACACAGTATGGAACTCTAAATATGTGATTATAAAATTACAGGGGCAGGAGAAACCGTGTATTGAGCTGTGAGCTGGTGAAATCGTTAAAAATAGTTGGTATATTGATGAATATTCAACAGTTACTTTGTCTTCGACATGTGTGAAAATAAAACTAAAAATGAAATGTTTGTGGACCCCCCCCCCCCCCCCCCCCCCCCCCCTTGTGGACTAACCTGAGGATGATAAACGCTCATAGACTTCACTTTATGAAGGGGTAACAAGACACGCTGTAGAAACTGTTTGTGTTCCTCCTTCAGTGGCAGGGCAAACCCATTAATTATACTGAAATAGAAGTTATTGTTAATAATAAAAAAATTTACAAGTTTATACTGAAAATCAAATTGATAAAGAAGATTTTGAACTACAAATTATAGTGAAATAAATGTTAATCTTGTAGCACTTCGTGTTGAATGACAAGGAACAATTTTAATGCCGACCAGTTCACTCGCATTTATGTATCAAAGAATTAGTATAATATGTGAGTTATGATCTTGGCCTGGGTCGTTAAATCATTCTCAAAAACATTAAAATCCTCCTCTTGATGACTTCAATTCTCAAGAGACAACAAGTTTGTAAACGAAAACATGGCCATTGTTAAACACACACTGTAATAAACTATAGTAACATATGTCAAGTTAAAAGATGTATTACATCTCACAATACAACGTATTATATTTTGGGTAACAGTGACACATAAAGCCTAATTAACTCGTTATGCTTCATATCTCGGTCATCTGAGAAGCTACAGTTCTAATTCTTTCAGGACAAACGTAATTCGAATGGCCAAACACAATTCAATAACGTTTAGCTTGATCCTACTATCCAAACTATCAAATAAATGCAAAAATGAACCTTCATTTGAAAAAAATGAACGCGAATATTTTTCGAGTTGACAAATTCCTCGAACCAGTGGTGGTACTAAGTCATACCAGAAAGAAATATTTAAATTGGGCACTCAGTGACTGAGCTATAAAGGCCAACGTATGGGTACTGACTTTTGGCCCACCCTGTACTATACCGGGTAGTAAATCACATAAAGTTATTTATAGCGGGAACACTCCCTTATTACTCAATACTTATACAATATACAAGTTATATACATGATATATGGCGAGATCTACATAAGAGGGGATTAGTCTGCGTTCAATTTTTATACTATACAGCTTCGGCAAGTCAAATTTCTCGATATTTTTCGATCATTCTAGATCGGGGATCATGCTTTAGATACTCCAGTATTCAGACATTACTAAGCATCCACAAAAACTCATCTGAAGGCAGGCTTCATAGCCCTTTAACAGCCGGTCGGCACTATACCTATTTGGCGGCTCTTCCATGGACGACCTCCAGACTAGACTGTTAACCAATTGGTAGAGTACAAATTGTGGAATACTTTCTTCTGGCTGTCTGCCTATAACTTATATAGTCGCTTGGTAACAATGATGTCAGGAAGGGTTGATAGTGATGCGCGTTGTGAAATATTTCGATGAAATTATTCTTATTATTGGCTCTAATCACTTTTTCTGCACCTTAGCCTTTTCCCAAACTACACTTGTATGTACTTACATCTTTACATACGAATAACCGCAACGTGTATCCATGCCTTGCCAATTCGGAAACCAATATCCTTATCAATATTCTCACATCCGCACTGAGATAAGTAAATTGTGTAACCTCTGTCCACCTACTTATCAGAGGCGGATAATGCGGAAGAGGCGGATTATGCGGAAGAGGCGGATTATGTGGAAGAGGCGGATAATGTGGAAGATTCCGGAAGAAGATATTGGCCTATTTGACTGACATTTTAGGGATACAGACTAGAGCTATACAGATCTTCAAGTGATAAGTAAATTATTTCAAACTAGTTAGCAGCTTAGGTTAATTAGTTGTAGTCCAGCTTATAAGTTAATTAGTTGTACTGCTTATTCGTTGCCAACATCTGATCAACAAAGTTTCCACCGTGATATACTAATATCAGGGTGCGATACTAAATCTCATTAGAAGAGAACCCGTGTTATCATAATATTCTAGTAGGAAGTATTTGTAGGTGTAACCCAGATTTTATTGTTTTATTAGTGAATAAAACAATAAAAAGAAACACAATACATCATATTATTATAGAACAGCTAAATAGTACAGTAAAATAAATGTAGCCATACATAAACATTGTACACAATAATACAGCACACTATAGACTATTATATACACTGGTTCTTAACAAACGCTGTAATCAGACGATAGTTGCAAGATAAGGTATTCTCTCTCTCTCTCTCTCTCTCTCTCTCTCTCTCTCTCTCTGTATGTACAGATGTTATCATGCTCACACAGTTAGGTGTACAATCTACTATACATTCTTCTGTACAATATTGTACATACTGCGTTACTGTATGTAGTGACAATTTATTTTACGGCCCACAAACAGTTAACTGATTGGACTAGGGAGGCAGTAAATCTTGTAGTGTTTATGTTCTTTAAGTTAAGCGGAGTTTACAATACCGCACATAAATGGGGGTGATCAGTTTGGAGTATTTTTAGTAGTCTCGTTCTACTAAGTGTCCTTAATTTCATGCCCTGATAAGTTTTATAACAATAACATAATTAAGTTTTACAACAATAAAATAACTAACCTGCCCAGAATCTCAAGCAACTCTGCGATGCCATTGTGTCGTTCTGATTCGTATAGTACCCTGTAATAAACATAACGGTAATCTCTCCAGTGTGTACTTCTATAACGATAAAATACAATATGTTTAATTAACGAACCTTAGATCAATTTATCATAATTGCAGTAAGCTTACTTTGCAGTAAGCTTACTCGGTTACTTTCAGCGGCTGAAAGACTACCTACCTTAATATAATTATTGGTTCAGAGATATTTGCAGATATTTCAGTGATATTTATATTAATATTTCAGCGATATTTACTAATACTAATATTCCGTTAGTTTCCTCAGAACTCATTATGAGTCAATTTAATTGTTATTAAGAGGAGGTATAAAAGTTACGCGCAGTGTGTAATCTCGAAATAACTTTGCAGGAAGCTTATATCGGTCATTTTCTAGACAGAACCAATTAGCGTGCAGTAATTGCATCATTAGTATCATTACAGCTGACGACAACCAAAGGATGTAACTAATTTCTTAAGCTACTTATTCCGTCAGAATATTAAAAATTTCAAATCAACGTTGTATAACACTGTCCACTTTTGGGTAAACACTAAACAAGTCACCATAATTACAAAGTGCATTACCGACTGGGTAAACACTAAACAAGTCACCATAATTACAAAGTGCATTACCGATGCACTGCTTCTTAGATACTTGAAAGCCAGATATTTTCGCCATTATCTTTAAGATAAAAGTGGAGATCATCTTTTTCGTAAATTTTAATGTTTCAATGGAGTAATGAGTCACTATCAATCGATTTCACGGCAAAATTTTACGAAAAGCATTTCCTCGCAAAAATAAATGGTTTTACAATATTTCTATACACAAATAATGGTTATATTTCCTTGTGAACGATTACATTGCATATTAGTGATATTACCAAATCATATTATGTTTTTAGTCGCCATTACGAAACACATACCTAACCTACTTCCTGAATTTCAGTATGTGACGCTGACAACAACATGCCGTACAATAGGTAACAGTTGCAGTGGGTTACGTACTTTATATACTGTAACAAGTACCTTTATACCAGCACACGTACCTTTATACAGTAACAGGTACCTTTATACCGTAACACGTACCTTTATACCGTAACACGTACCTTCATACCAGCACACGTACCTTTATACCGTAACACGTACCTTTATACCGTAACAAGTACCTTTGTACCGTAACAAGTACCTTTATACATGCACACGTACCTTTATACCTGCACACGTACCTTTATACCGTAACACGTACCTTTATACCGTAACAAGTACCTTTGTACCGTAACAAGTACCTTTATACATGCACACGTACCTTTATACCTGCACACGTACCTTTATACCTGCACACGTACCTTTATACCTGCACACGTACCTTTATACCGTAACACGTACCTTTATACCTGCACACGTACCTTTATACCAGCACACGTACCTTTATACCGTAACAAGTACCTTTATAATATACATGCACACGTACCTTTATACCTGCACACGTACCTTTATACCGTAACAAGTACCTTTGTACCGTAACAAGTACCTTTATACATGCACACGTACCTTTATACCTGCACACGTACCTTGCTTGTGAGCTACCTTTATTTACCACCCTCTTCCCTCTACGTCTAACATCTCTACCACCCTAACTTTCCACTTTCCAGTTCTGTTCCACTGTTAGCTTCCTTAATTTCGATATATCTACATTCTACCTCCCATACCCTCCGCTTCCCAAAATAACTACCACTCACGTACCAGATTAATCTATAACTTCCCCGGCTTCCCCACGTGTCACTTGTCACCCTATCATGGCTATCTGTGATCCTGATTCCCAATTTAATTTCGCTGCCTTCCAACTGTCCCCCGGGTAAAGTAGCCTGGTAAAGTACTCTCCTCCCATACCTAAAACCTTCTCACACATCCAACACCTGCTGCCCTCAAATTCCTCCTTCAATTAGGAGATTATAGAGTACTCATATTATAACATGACACCAGCCTTTTAATACAACCGAAGCATTAGCGTAGGTAGAAGCGGTTTTCTACCCTTATAAGCCTTAATCTGTTATTATATTAGTAAGCCCTACACGAACTTTGAGGAAAGAGACGGCGAAACCTGTCACTTAGTCACGTGACATGTGGTGGTGTTGTGAAATCGATAGATCCCACAGGTTCTCCAGGTGAATATGCACCGCGCATATGCAAATAAAAAGCGAGTGTAATGTGCAACTTGCGAGGAAATGTGACTGAGAAAGTGATTCAAGGTAGTGATAAGCACAACATGAAATTAAGTCTTGCAGCATGATGGCAGGGAGTCTAAATGAGCTGACATTTGTGACTTTGTGAGTCTGAATATCTGCCTTTGCCTTGCCGAGGCTCGCTCAACTCTGTTGATGCTCGCTTAGCGCTGTAGAGGCTCACTCAGCACTCTGTTGAGGCTCACTCAGCACTCTGTTGAGGCTCACTCAGCACTCTGTTGAGGCTCACTCAGCACTCTGTTGAGGCTCACTCAGCACTCTGTTGAAGCTCGCTTAGCGCTGTAGAGGCTCAGTGCTCACCCAGCACTCTGTTGAGGCTCAATCAGCACTCTGTTGATTGCAGGCGTATACAGGCCGACGACATGTTTAGGGTTTAGTCAGCCTTACGTAAGGGAAACCTTACATGAGGACATCAGTGAGTAGCAGTTCAACCTCTTGCAAGTTTGGTGTACATTTCTTAAAACAGTCGCTGCTAGCTTCCCTCGGCTACTATAATTTACCGATTACATAAGCAAATGGCTATTGGAAGGCCGAAGCAAAATGAGAACAAGACTGTTACATAGATCATCTATAATAGATGTTACAACCTACAGAATTTGAATAAGCAATTTACAGTGTGCCATACTATTGAACCAACAATACTCTCACTGAATACATGATTTTTGTGTTATACAATACATGTAGAACAGAAAGCCAAAGAAGTTGAAACACGCCCAAAAGACTGTGGGGCGTGCATCGCCGCCCAAAAGACTGTGAATTGAATTACAAGGGTTTCAATCCAGTTTTCTCAATCAATATTTTGCAATTAGATGTTTCAGAGTTTACGGAAGAATGCCGTTTCAGGGAGTTTAGAACCTCCATTCAAAATGTTTTATTCAAAAAATAAAAATGTATTTTTACCGAGCCTTTTCCAAGGGAACCAAATTTTTTAATCTTCTAGGTCATAGTGCCCACGGGTGCGAGACTTATTCATATTGTCGCAGAAATGCTTAACCTTAGCTTGATTGAAAATAAGGCTGTTAAAATAAAAAATGTTTATAAACATTTTTGTTTATAAACATTTTCCATGGCCCATCTCTCAATTTCAAGTGTAAAAATTATAACTGTGGGGCGTGGGCTATGAATATAGTGCCCAATGGACATAATTATCATAATATGCATAACGTTAACAAATATCAAGGCCACCTCAAGTTAGATTATAATAAAACAACAGATCAAATCAATTACCATGTATCAAAATAAATTATATTATATACCAGGGCGAAGGGTATGACTATGATCAATGAAATAAAATATAACTTGCTTCACAAGCTGTACTTACTGAAAAAATATATTGTTTATTTGTTTCCTAATGTAAGCACGTAGCCCTAAGAATTTTCCGTAAATCCTATGTAGAGTTGTCTTGAGTAGGTCTCTCTCTCTGGGGTCCTCACTGTCGAACAACTCCAGAAGTTGGATTACGAACTGTTGGTCGATGCTCCGCTTTGCGGTACTTGGTGTGAAGTCTGGTGATTCCAGGAACCGCAGGAAAAACTCATATACCAACTGAGGGGATTCAAGATATTTGATCACTGAATACATGTATAAGAATAATAAATAAAAAGTTTTCATTTCTGATTTCTTACAAACGTTTATAATCTGATCTTGGCTCCATAAAGGCATGTATAACATGTATGGGCATCAACGTGGCCACAAACTAAATTTTGTGATCGTAGAGGATCAGATGATGCTTAAAGATTCTAAAAACCAAGCTGCAGGAGTGAAAACATGTCACGAGGTGTACCTGTAAATGTGGCCAAGCAGCCTCAAGGGTGGGCTCGTCCTCCTCCGGGTCGTACTCTGCCCCGTGAGGGTTGGTGGGCGGTGGTAACGTCCGGAACAAGTTCCGAGAAAACTGCGGATAATTAATTAATTGATAAGCTTACTGTTGATCAGCTAACTATTGGATCATTGAATGGTCAATATAAAACGATAGATGAACGTTTATCCATATAATAGTTAACCGCAGCCTAATGGGAATGATATACTGCATATCACCTTACTAAATATATTCATTAATAATTTGTACACGCGTGAGGGCAACGGAATTATATCGTAATAAAAACCTGCTAAATATTTTTACCCAATTCTGACTTTAATTTTTATCAAATTTATTCAATTAAGGAGGAAATTAACAAATTATAAATCTGTTCAGCTCAAAAAAACAAAGCTCTGACCATCCCCCACATGTAGCAACTCTCTCATATATAAAATACTTAAATTATCAAAAATAAGATTAGTAAGTGACAGGAATTACAAGAATTTGATACATTCATTCACTCATTCATGTCATGGTAGCACTCTCCGCTCATGCTAACAGTGTACTCAACAAGCACAAAATGTGACATGTTGTGACACATTGACACGTCCACCACCACTAATTACATCCATTCATCAAATTTTAAAATTAGTAGTCGGGTACAATCGTCATTGAAAATTAATTACTGTTGGTATTTCTGTAAACCGTAGATTGTGGTGTATCATGTGGTAATTGGTTTAATAGTCAGTGTAATATACGTGTAGGAGGGTAAAACTATAAGCCAATTAAAAAAGCAGAGTACTGAGGAGCTAAAATCAAGAAGTCACACGCGACAGATCTTAAAGCAGCTTCTAGTAAACAGTGAGGTGACAGCTCTTAGCAGATGAGCTTCATAATTGTCGTCACGTGTAAAAATAGAGATGTCACGTGTTTCGCCGTTTTCATCCGTAGAATAGCACCAGTAAAATGATCCAGTTCATTGATATTAAACTTGTATATCATCTTTTCATCTACCTTTTAATTAGTCTATAATTATTAATTACGCTGATAAGTTTACAATTAGTCTACAACCGATCTCTTCATGAGCTTTTAATTGCCCGCTTTATCGACATATGACGACATAATGACTATTCAAAATGAAAATATTCGTTGTTTAATAATAATCCACCATAATATCGAGTTATCACAAGCATAGCTCTCGTCGGCACTTTGTATAGCCAAGAGCGAGGAGCGTGACTTACTATACCTCTACATCTTACTTCGTCTAGCTCTAAAATATGGCTGATAAAAATATAATATTACTGGGCTATATTATATCGTTATACATATATATATATATATATATATATATATAATATATTTCAGTCCTTACATATTGTTCAAGCACATTTCTGGGATGTTAGATTAAACACTGCTGAGTATAAGTTTTATCTTAAAAGTGGTGTTATTAACCTTCCATTTATTAATATAAGCAATGATGTACATATCCGACAATTGAGATCAGTTGCGTGTTTTTTCTGTGGCTTACTAATTTATATAATAATATGTATTGAACAAAACACAATATGACCTCACGTAATTAAGGAGCATGTTATTGTTTTCTTAGTGTACAAGAGGGGGGAGTTCCAAAATTATGCTCAGTTCATCTTTGTATTATTAATTATATGTCCTGAGCGTGCGAGCTAAACACGCAATTATTGTTGTGTTACACATTGAGATTATATCATACACCTATCTTAATTACACTTACTCTAATTAATATTTATAACTGTTATGTTGAAGTACTTACTCTAATTAATATTTATAACTGTTGAAGTAGGAGTATTATGAAATATTCTTAATTAATATTCATCGCCGTTTAAATAATAGTGCATCGTAAACTTATAATATTTATTATTATCTATGGCTGTTTAGGTATAACTTATAAGTATTATATGGTACACTTATCCAAAATTCAAGTACGAGTATTATATATCTATCGAGTATATATACCTCAACTACATTTCCTGGCAAACTGACATCTCTGAACATTATTTATCTTTTAATTACTGTACTGTACTTTAATTGATTAAGTTTGCTAGCCTCACGGTGATATAATTGAACGGATTATTATAGAATGATTAGAAGATTGTAATGAATTAAAATTATAAAAACCAATCTAATCTTCCAGAATTCTACTCCTGAATTCTATCTTCAGTACGATTGGAGAGGTGATGTGCGTGACTACATGTAGAGTTGTCGCTAATTGCCCCCAAACAATACACTCTAATGTCGTTGATGAATTAATAAGTCACCTCTCGGACACAGCCACCGTTGGAGCTGGTTAACATACAATATACCAGACAAATACACGGGTTATATTCAGTAGACACGTCCACACCATTACTGAGTTACCAACGCGAACGTTCATTGTTCACTTGTAACGAGTGATGATGATGATGACCAGTCACCAGTTACCAGTAGCCGGACGTGACTAGCTGCGTACTTATCCTGGTCACTAGCTAGCTGGTGTAGATACCAGGTGTATAATCTGCATATTTAGTGATCTGTAGCAGCAGTAATTACACCACCGAGTTGCAAATGTTACGGAGACAACGTTACAGAATAGTTACAGTATAGTATAGAGTGAACACCGGACTTCGAAACATTTACATTTATTGGCCAAAATACGATCGGATCAGCTTGAACCTGACCTTATGTGTTTGGTAACGATTCAATTATGGATCAATCTGAACATTAACTTCTCATTTTGGACCACCTTAATTCTGGTAGAATTTCGATAAATCCAAAACTGGTCCAGAGCTGAACAGTTTTATCTCTACCGTACCCACAAGTATACCGTGTGTTGCTGAGACATGCCAACTTAAACTTGTTATTGATGCTATTCAGGGTAACTCCTCAAGCGTACAACACTCAATAATGAGACTATTGGGACTACTTTTAAACATGAACTTGACTGTGATTGGTACATGGCGGGACCAAATTAAGGTCCATCAGAGTTCCGATATACACTGGAACACTGAGCAGGGGGAGCAAGTTGCAACAGTGTTAATCTGGGTTTGGATTGAAGACACTCTAAAGTCTGCGGCTCCATATTTTGTACGTTTATCTGACGGGCACCTAGCATGCTATCAGTCCTGTCGAAAGAGGGTCGTCGAAATGCGGTCGAGACTAATGTAGTTTTTACTCTCTCTCTCTCTCTCTCTCTCTCTCTCTCTCTCTCTCTCTCTCTCTCTCTCTCTCTCTCTCTCTCTCTCTCTCTCTCTCTCTCTCTCTCACATTTTAAAAGCATATATCCAGGTCTAGGTTATGCAACTTTGCATATTGGTACATGAAATGGCTTCATATTCTGTTAATAAATTTATTTTTTATTGGACAGAGTTAATTTCAACAGGACCAGTAGCGTACCTGTTTAATACATCTTAACTGATCATAATTGATGATCCACGATAGTACAAACTTCGCACAATTACAAGATACATTACAAGATATAATGACACGTCCAGGAAACACATCTTACTTAGCCGGTAGCTAATTATTGTATTGTATTGTATCAGATGCCATTACATCGTGGCATAGGTGCAGATTTCGTTTTGAGGTGAACTTTTAAGTTCCCGAGAAATTTTCTTAAGTTTGCTTTTTTTTCCTCCTCGGGCACATTCGTAACCTACGGGCCAGGTAAACCTAAACTACATATTGACCGTTATGTACGTCGGTATCTGTTGAGGAGCAAAATCATCTGAAAAGCCCTTAACCTATATTTTGCTCAGGCACGTAGCCAGGATTTTTCTTTGGGGGGGGGGGGGGGCTGTCGGCGAGCGAAGCTGCAAGCTGTGGCAGGGGTCTGGGGGCGCGGCCCCCAGCGGGGTCCAGGTAAGGGGCGGACCACATTGGCGGGGGCTAGGGGGGCGCAGCCCCCCGGAAAAATTTTGCGAAATAGGGTGTTTTAGGCTAAATTGAAAGTTTAATGAATTTACAAAAATGTATGGTTTGGCATAATCATTGCCTACAATCCTGACCTGAGTAATTTACCCCTTCGAGACTTTAGGGGTAAATTACTCATATTAAGTTTATCGAGAGGAAGTGAAAAATCTCTGGTTCAAATTTGGATTTGAAGCCATGTTTAATTTTTTCTGTTGAGGTCAATTTTTTGCGCAGAAAGCGTTCGATTTTAGGGGAAAAAATTTATGTTTGCTTTTAATTTTTACGGTGCCGACGGCACCTGAAATCGACGAAATCTGCAGGGGTGCATCGTGGAGTAGGTGGTGTCCTGCACTCCCCCCCCCCCCCCCCCCCCCCCTCGACTTAATAGAAAAAACCTAGACATGCAACCTGCAACCCGAAGGTGATTGCAGCCCTTACGGAAGACTATACGGTCTTCATGCTCCTCTAATTAAAGGATACATAACGATAACTTGTAAACCCCAGAAGTTTCCAGTATCGTCATAAATCGATATACTTACTAGGCTTGGTGTCACTTGGCCATGACAAAAGCTGGTAGCTCATTAAGACCCGTATTTAATGATAATTTGGACAGCGAAATAGTTTTATCTTCGAAAAGTATATATTACATACATCATAAAAACGATTACCAAAATAGAAACCTGCAATTATATCTAAGAGGAGGAGGTTATCTATTTTTGGAGTAATTAAACTGCGAATAGTAGCTCACGGTACTAAAATTGCCATACATTTTTCATAAAAGATTTAAAACAGTTTAAACCAGTTAAAAACTACAAAAAAAAACCAGAAAAATGTACACAGCACCAAAGCTTCTTAATATTTACCGAGCCTCACGACACCAATAAATAACGGAATTAAGGTTGAAATAACAAGCACTATACTGTAGTTATAGTCATTTAATTTTAACAAGCATGATTCAATGCTTGAGATACATTACTCACCTAACACCTTCATGACGTACCTATGTTACAGCTATTGTTGTATTAATCGTGTTGTTTGATGAAAACTTCTTAGATGTATTAAATAAATAAATTTTATAAAATTTCATCGTTATAGTTGAGCTCGTTTCAGTTCTACTTGGTAAATATTGTACACAATAGAATTAGAAGTAAGAATGGGTAAGTACGCTAAACTGGACAACACATCAAAGCAGCTGAGTGATCACCAGCATGACATGACGCAAATTACACCTTTAATAGTGGACCTGGTTTTAAGATTATTATATTTTTATTAGATTGCCCGGAAACAGCCATTATTTTCTAGGGAACTGCGTCTTGAAGTTTGATTAATTTCTTAGACAGTAGACATTCATTTTAGAAAGATATGCACGGGCAGTGGGCACCATGCCAATCAAAGGTTAAGCATTTCTGCGACAATAAGTCTCGCACCCGTGGGCACTATGACCTAGAAGATTAAAAAATTTGGTTCCCTTGGAAAAGGCTCGGTTTTAAAGGGAAGAGCCAGTCAGATTCAAGACTGAATAAGGTAATATCACGTGATGCCCAAATAAGGTAATATCACGTGATGCCCAAATAAGGTAATATCACGTGATGCCCAAATAAGGTAATATCATGTGATGCCCAAATAAGGTAATATCATGTGATGCCCAAATAAGGTAATATCATGTGATGCCCAAATAAGGTAATATCATGTGATGCCCAAATAAAGTAATATCATGTCATTCCCAAATAAGGTAATATCACGTGATGCCCAAATAAGGTAATATCATGTGATGCCCAAATAAGGTAATATCACGTGATGCCCAAATAAGGTAATATCATGTGATGCCCAAATAAGGTAATATCATGTGATGCCCAAATAAGGTAATATCACGTGATGCCCAAATAAGGTAATATCATGTGATGCCCAAATAAGGTAATATCACGTGACGCCCAAATAAGGTAATAATCACGTCCAAAGTAGTTATATAACACCTCATAACACCAGACATATATAAAGAGCGATTATTTACATAGTCACTTTAAAGACACCTCGTAATCCTGGTAAATTGTATTGCCAGTGTACGGTTAGTAGTTGTGCTGACAAACTATATTTATACTATATATTATACATTAAACGAGTAGCATACTTATATAATATATATATTATATTACACCTCCTACAGCTAGAGCTGTTCTATATTTATGGTAGAGAGGGTAACAAAAATAGCCGGTACTTAATACTTGTGGGTTGTGACAAGAGTTGTACAATACCTTCTGACGCACCCCTCTCCCGCTCTCCCTCTCTCCCTCTCTCTTCTTCCTTTCTCTTTATAGTGTTAGAAAATATTGTACCCATCTTTTCAACACTAGCAGTATTTCTCTTTTAAGGAGGTGGTTTTATGTGCTATAAATTGAGAGAGAGAGAGAGCTATACAGTTAGATATATTATATATATTATATATAATATAAGTAAGTGATATATTAAACAAGGAACTGAAACCGAGGGGTTCCGTTCAGGCCCTTCACACTTTGTTTCTGTCTAGTTCTAATGTACCGTCACAATAGTGACTTTTATATATATAATATAAGTGGAGATAAAATAGATGAGAAAACAGAGAGCGTTTTATATTTTTATGAGATACAGTGTATTTTTTAGCGTTGTGGAGCCACATTTTCTAATTCATTTGCGGTAGTGATAATTATTCTTACTGTGGGTGTATATATAGCGACAGGTTCTTGCAAGTTACAACGTGTTACCAATTTGAACGAGAGCATATATAAATTTGTATATCTAGAATAAACGAGCCGGTGACATGATTCATGTCACCGACTCGTTTATTCTAGATATACAAATATTGCACGTTCATGTCACATGAACGTGCAATTAGTTTGATTATCTAAAGATTCCAAAATTGATATCAATTTAAGGAATTATTCGATTAGCTGACCTGATTTTCGAAAATAAGGCAGATAAGTGCAAATAAATTATATTTAAAATGCAAAGTTGATAAAATACAAAGTTGATGACTACAAATAGACTAATGACTACAATTTTACCGATGACAAACTTACTCTTAACTAGTACAAATTAATTCTTTAAACCACACCGAAAAAAATCATTACAAATATATACACATTATACATGTACAAGAACGTGTTAATTTTCCATTAAAAACCTACCATATGTACAGCCTCCGGATAGATGGCCTCGGTAATAACGCCTCTCTGATGAGTCACAAAGTCAACCAGCTCATTCAGGGCAGCACGCTTGATCTCCTTCCACTTCAGGTCACTAAGAGGGTCCACTGCGAAGTCGAATATTGTACAACACTGCCGTAACTTCTGGATAAACAGCTCCTCCCGCTCCACACCTGATCCTGCATCTGAGGAAATGTTCCAAGTTAAATATACTATTTTCAAATAATCGCTGGGTAGATTATGTGATATAAATAGCAATTTTAAGGACATGCCCACTTTAATCCAGACGATATGGATCGTTAACAATCCTAACCTTTCTCACAAATGAGGTTTATTTTAAATACATATATACCACAGATTACCAGACCTATCTACCAAAGTTCTGATAATATCTTTACTTCCCAGAATTGCTATGGTTATGAGACTGCTAGCGCTTGATCGTCTAAACACGCTATTTAAGTAATATCGTCTCGCAGTTCAAAGGGTTACTTAGTATCACAGTAACTTTTGTCGGCCAAAACTATTACAAAGAGTGGACACTACACTCCTCGCTTAGCTCTATAGACTATAACACTACAATTTCGAGGTTCTGGTAATAAAAGTATAATACTTTCTTTTGATATAGGGAACACCCTGCCCTGCAACTATAGCTGTGGTTTAAGGAACACCCCACCCTGCAACTAGAGCTGTGGTTTAGGGAACACCCCACCCTTCAACTAGAGCTGTGGTTTAGGGAACATCCCACCCTGCAACTAGAACTGTGGTTTAGGGTACATCCCACCCTGCAACTAGAACTGTGGTTTAGGGAACATCCCACCCTTCAACTAGAGCTGTGGTTTAGGGAACACCCCACCCTGCAACTAGATCTGACATGGACCACTCAGTTACAAATCCCAGTCAGGTGGCACAGTTACATTCCCTCTCAGCTCTGTAACTTCTCAGCAAGGAATGTAACTGAGTACACTCTGGAATGCGCGGAGATACAGACCCAGCTCTCTCTCTCTCTCTCTCTCTCCCTCTCTCTCTCTCTCTCTCCCTCTTTCTCTCTCTCTCTCTCTCTCTCTCTCTGTTTGCAGGTTTGGACCGGGGAACAGTTACCGAGAGGGAACAGTAGACAGGCTTCACTGCAAATATATCCCCCACATATCCCCTGCTGACGTAATTCATACCGTGTGGAATTTGCTGCGCTCAGAGAACTAGTAGTAGTAGTTGGCAATTTTAGTTGTACGGAGTGTATGTTATATATATATATATATCTTTATAATATCTTGTGTCAGATGAGTTTTGTGTTTAACATATGAAAACACAGGGCCCCCGGGCCCTCTCAAATGAATAAGGGGTTGTACTCTATGTGGGAGAAAGTTGCGTTTAGCCAGGTGGCTTAACTGAGTTGAGCATTATAAGTGGGTATTAGACGAATGGTACGTCATTGGCAGTTTGGTTAAGCATATACAAAATGGAGCGTGTTAAAATGGAGCGTGTTAAAATGGAGCGTGTTAAAATGGAGTGTTATCAAGTGGGGAGTTAAGTGACTGTTATAATAATGATTATGTGACACTTACTAAATGATTATAGAACATGTTTCACAATTCTTGTGCCTAAGCTGATGTGATTTAACTCGATAGCTAAAAAGCTATCCTGTCGACGTAAACCGAGCTCCAAAAATTAACAAATCATCAGAACGAATAAAGGTAAGCTGTGCGTCATGTGTTGACTGTTATATTATGTTGAATGTAATATGTTGAATGTAAGATATTGAATGTAATATGTTGAATGTAATATGTTGAATGTAATATTTTGAATGTAATATGTTAACTGTAATATGTTGACTGTAATATGTTGAATATGTTGACTGCACCTTTGAGAAGGGGAAGCTTCTGAAGCTCTCTGTCCTGACTGACACGGAAGCGAGATGAGTGGTTCTTGTTATCCTTCTTCTTCCCGAGGGGTGTTATCTTTACCTTGTTGAACAGTGCGGCCGTGGGGGGTCCAGAGTTCTTTTTCTGAAACGAAACGAGGCGTACAAAAAACGGAGGGAACATTTCTGAAAAAGCAGCATCTACGCTAGCTCTAGGTAAACACGAGTTTTGCGTTTTTGTAGTAATTAATGCATTAAATGATGACAGGTAGCAGAGAGAATGTATAAATAAAGGATCAGATATCCAATCGGTTGGCGTGTTGTAAAGTAATTTTATTGTTGTTTGAAAACTTGTTGAAGTAAACAGGAAAACCATGCATGGCTAATACTTAAGGAAATAATGAAATAAATTAATACAGTGAAAGTATCTGAATGATGGATTGACTAATTCAAGCAGCCAATATAATGGTATGTTCTATATTTTTAGAGAGAGAAATTTAAGCTCTAATGAAATTAGAGAATTAAATTAGCTCTAATAACACTACTTCATTCGTCATCACACTTAATTTCATCCTTACACTTCATTTCATACTGATTCTGTGAGTCACATAGCACAGTGACGCACTGGATAATTAAAATTGGAAATTTTTCAGAGATTCATTGTGCACAAACGTGACCAAACTAAATGTGCAGTACATGTCCAGTCACGAGGTTATCACGTGACAAGCTTGCTATCCATCAGTTGTCAAATAGGAAAAGCCGATTTGTATGTAATTTATTCGGTATAGCAGAAGCCTGTGATTCTACATAATGTACCGAAATATTTTTTAATTAAAAGAATTGCTCAGATTTTTTAAACGTTGTATCAACTAACTTTAGAGAAACCATGTAAATACTCTGTGAAATAACAAAATTAATTTCTGGCACAGGGCAGCAGAATTACTTACATCATCACCGTCCTTTTTGCCACTTCCCTGGGTGAATGTACTCGTTAAACTATACAAATAACTGCATTCAAAGCGGCAACACAAATACAAAACATTATAAAATATGAAAATATGCCAATTCACTGGGGGAAATGATTTTAAAATATAACATACAGTGACAAAGTAAAAGAATTTATGGGATTTATGGGACAAAATAATCGAATCTGTGGAGAATTAAACATACCTTGTCCTTCTTGGTAGTTTTAGGCATTCTAGGGGTTCTGCTTAAGTTATCTGTTTCTTTTCATTCCCCCTTCATCCTAGATAAGAGTTATTGATTAATTTATTCAAATTGAGAGAATACTGAAGTATAAACAGCTTAACCAGTTATTGTTATTAAGTAATCAAGACTCACACCATGGAATGTTTCCTTGGGACAATCATATCTTATGATCAGCACAGACAGTTTTGGCATTACCTTTCCTGCAGTTAATTAAAGAATCTTGCACAAAACTGGTTTTTCGTTAAAAGTGGTAGCATGGCACCCCTGGAATGGGAATTCAATAACATCACCGACCAATTATACAGGCAGCCTTAACGATTCCCATGATGTTTAACGAGGTGGTTAACGGGGTCACCTTATCACGTGATTAGGTAAGCCAATCAACTGATCACATGTAATGAATAACCTCGTTATGTTTGTTATCTCGGTCATCTAAGAAGTGGTGGTAGTAAGTCATACCCTGTACAATACAGACACTTCATGACAAAATCGATACCGGGTTACAAAGCCATCTGAGGTTTCTCCACCAGCATCTAACTCAATTCTTGGCAAATTACAAAAATCGTGCTTGGTTTTATGGTTCAGCAGCAGAAAAAGTGATAAGCTAAACACAGACCTCACACAAAGCCTCTTGTCATGCTGGTTAAATGGGAGCCAAACTAACAGTTACTATCTCTGATCTGAGATTTTTCCATACACCAATTTGCTTATCCAGATACAATTGGCTATGCCGTGCATGATAACTTTATTTGCTATGTTAATTTTAACATTTCGGTTCAATTTAAATTACAATCAAAGTTCTACAAGACAATAAATATTTATAATAATACAGTTTCACGTTTGTTTGATATTATATCAAAGTGATAGCTGATTCAGGTACAGCATAATCATATTGACCAATCATGATGTAGATGATGCATCCTTTACAGCATCATCTAAAGTTTCTTAAATGATTGACTTGAATATTTACCAAAAAATTCCTGTTTAAATTTGACTTTATTTATTTATATATTAGAGTCAACTGTCAAGTTATTATATTATGTTACAATTCAAAGATGTTATTGGAATTAAAAGAAGTTGACAAACACACAAATCATACCATTAACAGCCTTACAACTGACGAACCTGCTGCTGCATAACTCATGGATACAGTCACCATGTTCAAAATGTCATCAAAAAGCTATTCACAAAAAAGCATCGCAATCACAAGGAGAGAGAGAACTTCTAAAACATATTGGTTGCAAGATAAATAAATCCAGATCAAAACTTTGTTTTCGAGTTACTGTGAAAATCAGCTGTTTGTTAAATCATGTTACCAGTCAATACTCGATATACCGTTTCCTTCTTTATTTGAAGGATCTCCTAAATTTCAACTTGTTGCACTCACTATATAATTATGACCTTCAAAGTCACAACGAGAACTATGACCATTTCAAACCACTTCATTGATTGAAATAAATTTTCGTGCACATACAGAATGAATGGTTAATAATTTAATATATATGTAGACCAAGGTCTGTGCACGGGATGCTTCCTGGAAGAATCCAGTTCTTTTAGCGGGGCACCCTACCTAAAGCCAAATTGAGATATAATAATCATATTCCTAAGAAATAATCAGAAATCGAATACCAATCAAATAATATGATATATATGAGTAGTAACCATATTTACTATGCAAAATGCCCCAACCACATAGTGTAAATTTATATAGAATTCAAATTCCATATCATCATTAAACCTCAATACCTAGTCAATATAATAGCCCAAGCAAAATTAAATAACTTCTTATATACCTTACTGTCATACTACAAATTAATTAAACATTTGAAATCTGTTGACCAGAGAATAAATTTCTAAGCCTAATGCAAGTGAAATAATTTAGATGCAATAATGAATGCCTAATGTGAGTATCATTTGTCAATGTCCTTGTAAAAAAGTCTGTACAAGAGATATGAGTAACTAATATAGAAGAAAAAACAGGAAGTTGTCGTCTGTTGTAGAATAAATAAAATATCTAGAATATAAATTAGAATATAAAATAACATTCAGTCAATGTGTCGTCAATAAACTGTACAATTATCAAATGTTAAAACTGGGTGATACAGTCACCAAAAAAAAATACTAAGTATGATAAGTTAATAAATTAAATGTGGTCTATAAAACTACCACTAAGTATAATAGGTCAATAAATTAAAAGTGGTTTATAAAACTACCACTGTGGGACTTCATGGACACCAAATAAAACATCTTGCATATCACTTGCTGTGTTTAAAGGGGACACTGAATCACCATCAATCAATTATTATGTTATGCTTAACACACATATCGTGCCATAACAACTAATCACACTGCTCTGAGCACCAATGAACAAAAAGAAAGGATACAAACAGAATTGTCAACTTCATGAAGGCAATACAATATATACACAAGCAACAACAATTTTAAGTGAGGAAATCATAACTTTACACTGAAGAGAGTCTTGCTACATCATTGTCCTGAGTTACCTCCTGAAACAAATTAATTCAATAAAATCAAGTCCAACATTTAAAAAAAATTGATATCAATGCATCTTGTTTTCTTTTCTTTAAGTGTATACTGAGCTTCAGCCCACATGATAGTTATTGGTGTATTACATAACCTGTCATTGAACCTGCCCTTGTAAGCCAAATTTACTTCAAGAACCTAACCAAGCTAAATGGTTTGTCTAAAAACTGAATTGTTCAGTGTACACTCAGTTATTATATTTACTGATTATTATATTTATTGAAATAAACATATAATATCCATTACTCCAGGAGTGATGACAGGATACATAAAAAAGTGTACACTCAGTTACTTAGAATGTGTGACATCCTTTAAGCAATCCTTTGAAAGACCAGAGCGAGGATTTAAAATGACCATGTTCTACAGGGGTGCCTGTGCCAAAAGATCAAGAATCTTAGGATACTCCTTCAGAACATCTACAATGTAGTGTACTGTAAAACAAGGGCGGTCGAACTATTCGATGACCCTGTAGAGGAATCTACGAACTTTACAAATTACAAATTAAATTATTTACAATGATGGTTCTGCTCTTCACTCTCTATTATTCCCCTTTTTTTTGATCTGCATATACTTTTGTTCAGTGATGTCAAGTAGTGACCGAAATTATTGGATGCTATGGTGAGCCTTGTTCCATTTTTGTGGTTGGAAGTCTCGCAATAATTGCATCCTTTTCAAAGAGAAGGTTAGGACCCTTAAGCTTAGTGTTAAGCTTAGTGTTAATGTTGTTACATGGTGTTTGTTGATAAAATGTAGAAAGTTTTCTTTTTACTAATGCACTCCTTCAGAACCAATTTTAAAAACGGAAACTTGACTAATGTTCATGTTCCCTTTACATTTTAGACATTTGCCTCTACATGATCCAAGATCTTTAGACGAGGCTCCCTTCTAACTTTAACCAATAAGCAGCCAACATCGTAACGATGTTAATTTTGATCGCATGTAAACTCTGTCCGAAGTTAGTTTGCATGTCAGTGATAGTAAGAGACATGCATTTTACCTTTTTAAATTTGAACGATCTGTTCCTATCACCAAATCGTAAACAAACTTGTTTTAAGGTTAGACCAAGGTTGGCTTCATCTTAGTACTCCTATTCTGATCTTGCGATTCTGACCATGACTTTTGCATGATAAGGAAACAAACCTCCAATAGCTCGGTCAATGGCATGCATGGTGCAATCTCATTATGGGATGGGTATATGAAATTATCATATCCGGTGTTCGATTAAGTAGCGGCTATCGTCAATATTGTATACTGAATCATATACACGAATCATAAAATATTTTCGTCAACACTATACTCCGTATTCTCACATCTTCACACCAAAAAATCCTTCAATATTCGAAATGCTTATTGAAGATGGTTCGAATTTTTTTAAATATGTTTCAAATACAATATTTTTGATCATTTTTTGTGTAGCATCAACAAATTTTTGTGACTGTAATGTAATATAATCACAGTGTGTTAACTTTGCATGACCAATGATGCAGGCTATATAGTTATTAAATTATAATTTTATTGTACAGCGTATAGTGCAGTGCTTTTTTCCTGATCTTGTCACAAGGATTTTTTAACTAATTAATTATTAATATATAAAAATTAAATTTGATCTGAGTTTTTGTAATGTTACTTTTTATTGTATCACGTTGTGACCCCCACAGTCGTTTCACTATGGTGGGGGAGCCGCGCACTTCGTGCGCGGCGGGTATAACGTTCACATAGCCATGTGTATACGCGTACTGCGTGACGCGCTACTGCAAGTGAGAGGGCTCTGGTTAAAGCAAGGTATAACGTATGACAAAGTTTTTGGAAGGCTTCGACACGCCGCGTGAACAATTATTTTTGCAATTATTTCGTTGCTATGCTTCGCAGAGCAACGATCTCGAAGGGTTGACATCATTAATCAATGTATAAAGTTTTATTAATCCACTTTTTAGTTAAGGACACATTTTAATTTTATAATCAGTAATTTGGCAATATTTTATATATCTTGTTAACAATTCATGCTACAAACACAAATTAGAAAATTCAATACTTTACTGGGCCGCGCTCAGCCTGTCATAATTCCGCCGAATCTCATATGATTATGAACGTGAACATAAATATAATAGCTTGCGGTCCCCAGGTAATTAATACTTTGATAAATTTTTAATGGCTAGCTGAAGGGAGCTCAGTTGGTAAATTTGTTTGCTTGTTGATCGCGAGGTCAAAGCTAAGGTACCATGTTTAATAATACGTGCGTGCGCGGCTTGAGCCGCGCCGCATAACAATTTATGCGTTTAGGGGCTGGAGTACGCGTGTTTACAGATTAATGAATTGTTGCATTGTAAATATTTAAAGTTGACGATATATTATGATTTAATAGTAAATTTTTCAAAGCTGGCTTTGGACTTAGGTAAAATTATAATTTATTTATTTTAAAGAAAAACCACGGATAGTTTTAAATTTACATAGTCGTATAACTATAATCAAGTTAATCCTGTTTTCAAGAATG